GCTGCCGACACATAGTTTGGAAAGCTCTGCTGTAGCTGGTAATTGTGAATGCATCCACCTCTGCATGGCTAGGGCATTAATTACAGAGCAAGAAGCAGAAACCTAAATAAGAAACCTTCAGGGATTCAACCACAGAACACTGAAGTTTCTCTTCTGATGTATCTTCCCAGCAACATTCATCAACTGTGAATGCAGATGCCAAAAGAAGGAGGTGCCAAATGTGAGACCGTAGGAAATGCTGCCAGGAATGGTACAGCATCATGCACTGCCTGATGAACCTCACAGCCAAAGAGCTCTGCTGTTCCAGTTCCTTGGGGACACAGCTTCAACTTGGTACTCTACATCTAGGCACATCTAAACCCACCTTATGCCTATTGCCTCATAATAGCTTTCTAACTGCAGATGTGCATGTGTCCACTGTCACAGCTGCAAGATTGTGCCTTTGGTCGTTCTGAAATTGTTTCTATTCAATGCAATGTAACTAGTTAAAGATAATATTCTGACACCATGTGTGTATGTATGGATAGACAGACAGACAGAGACTTAGAAACGGCTTTGTTGTTAAAAACCAACTTTCCATACTATGGAAAGTTGGGTTTTTTTTATATTTTTCTTTTCTTTTCTCTGTTTTATTCCTTTTCTCTTTATTCTGTATACTTTTGACTGTGTGAAAGAAAATTTAATAAAAATATTTATAAAAAAAAAAGAAACGGCTTTGTTGAAGGCTTATTTAAAGGTCTGGAGATAGCACTGTGTTTTGTTCTGTTGGAGAACAATTGTTAGAAATTACAGCAAGCAGCTACCATTTCTCAACCTGACTAAGACAGTTGAGAGCTGAAGAGATGAATTTGCAAGTTTCTAATGGTTTGGACCAACTGGGAAAGTTATGAGAGAGTAATGCTGGTCCACAAGAAATCATACAAAGGACAGTGCTTTCCTATTTGTTATTCAAAAGGTGAAGTCCACAGTGTGGAGCTAAGGCTGATGGTCTGGCAAGTAAACTGCCCAGCATAGGTCAAAAGGCACTGAGCAGCTGTGGAATGTAATGCTTCTTTAAGATCTGTAGAAATATGTTTCCATGCACATTGAACATTGCCAGTGAACAGTCCCAGATATTTCTTTTTTGAAATATAGTTGTTGTAGGCTCTTAAGCAAGCCATGCATCATGAGGCTTCTGTATGAATGTAGAAGTGGAAGCCTTTGAAAATACGCATATTCTATTTTTTTATTCTCTGTTCAGATCTCATCTCCGTCTGAAAGCATAAACTCACACTTTCTGTCTCTGGGCTTTTGTGCTAACCACTGAGCAGCTAGAATGTTCGTAAATATTCCATGAAATTACAGCACATAAGGTGGACTTGTTTCAGTAAACTGATTCCAAGTTTCTGTAACACAGCACATTAACTTTTAACTATAGAAAGCTGGCAAACTGACAGGTAACATCCAGCATGGGTCTTTCTCATGAGTTGTTCTTTATTGATTTCGTGAGATTTTTCCTTCTCCATACTAGCAAAACTACTCAGTTATGGTGTATATCTCATTCATAGATCTATGACAGTGATAACTTTCCTAAAATGGCATCCACACATAAACAAGTTTTAAAATAAAATATACAGAACTTTATGGGTATGTTTTTTGTTTGCAAAACATCTGTTTTCATTTTCTCCTCAAGCATGCAATTCAGGCTTATGCCACTTATATGAATAGCCCACATTCAAATAACTGAAATGTCTCACACCTAACTCAAGTCCATGCCAGCTTCAGCTTCTTTGGAACCTGGGAACTTCCAATCTCTTAACCTTGTTCAGCGCTTGGGTAGAGCTGTAAGAAGATAGGTTTCCAGAGTAATCTGAATGGTAGACTTCTGAATAGATTCATAAAAAGCAAAGGTGGGCAATGCTGGTCTACGAGATTAAAAAAAGCAACTCCCAAATTCACAGTTGGGCTAATCAAAATTATACAAAATTGTGGAAAGTTTTCAAGTTCTCCAGAATTCTTCACCAGGCAAGATGTTATGTAAAACAGGAAGGGGGGGGGGATAAAGGATGGATGGATGGATGGATGGATGGATGGATGGGCAGGCAGGCAGATGTGTTAAAATTAGGTCAGCTTCTAGACTTAGTTCCAAGATTGAGTTCTTAGACTAGATAACACACATACCATGGCACTGCGTATATCAAATCTTTTTTTTATAATCGACCACTTGTTCTTCCTGCTCACTCTTCTCAAACCTCTGCTGTTGTTTAAAACCACAATTTTTCTCTGTGTTCCTCTATCCCTGCTTTACTGAAACACCTGCTTTTTAAAACCACCACTTTTCCTCTTTCAATGTCCCTCCCATCTCATCCCCATGCCATGGCCATTGGTATTGTGCAACCTGCCTTCACTTTGGCTCCTCTACTCCAAGCTGATTTCATGCAAATCCAAGATTGTGATGCAGCACTACAAATCTTCTACTGAAGGCTGTGCAATGACAGCTTATGTATATAGGAAGAAATGCCTCCTTGTAAAAAATAAAAATAAATTGTGAATGTGTGCCCCAAATCTTTTCAAATTGAAAGTAGTGCTTTTGTATGTCAAAATATTTCCCATCATTCCTCAATTGTGATAATTATTTTTTGCTAACAGTGTTATCCTTATTTTCTTCTGTTTCTGTACTCTTCCCCCCCTTCCAATTATTGTGTTTTCTTCCTGGATTAATCACATTCCCAGCTAATTGGGATTATATAGCAAATGAGATAATATCCACATTTTATAAAACCAATCAGGTGTGATTCTGCACTGATGTTCGTAAGAACAAACAAAGCCAATTAAAATGAGTACAATGCTTATTGAATAGGCAAAACATTTTAGATCCCTTTCACAACAGCCACTAAAAATTGCAGATGCAAGTTTCTTTTAATGTTGTCAAAACGTTTTTTTAAAAAAGCACTCCATTTTGAGCTTCCTTTTATGACTCTAAAGATAGTTGCAATTTTTCAAGCCGTAAGTGTTTGATAAATTTCCTTATGGAAGTATGATAGAAGTATGAAAAACTGCAGTAAGTAAAAGAATTGGACCGCATAGGTTGAGGACCAAATAATAAACCCATCTGAGGACGCAGGTTTCTTAATCAGAGGAAAGGGCAAGTCAAGAAAAAGAAGTATTGCTTTGAAATTAATTAGCTCTGGCAGAGCAGTTAAGCAAGAATTAGCTAGTTAAAAAGTTAAACAATTTGCTAACTTTTAACTTTGACTACTTGAAACTTTCAGCTGCCAACTTTTAATTTTTCTCAATTTAAAAAAGGTTAACTGACTTATTAAAGTATAAATTAAAGGAAAAGTAATAAAGAAACTGATTTCCCCAAAGTTTTCCTTTGGGGATAAAAAAGGGTTATGAAATATATCTGCATTAGAAGCCACTGTCTAGGACCCTATATAGAATTACAATATTTCTTCATTGAAGCTCTAGAACTTCTTATTTGAAAGACAGATTGTGTCTTCCTCTCATGTAGGCAGTATATGTGTGTGTGTGTGTGTGCGCGCGCGCAAGCTCCAATGCTGAGATCACATTACTTGTCAACAAGGCAGTCACTTGGCTGCAAGAAAGGAAGCAAGCAAGCACAAATAATCAAATAGGTTGGGCCCCAGTAAGAGTGAGAGCCATTTTTGCTGCTAATTTTACAGAATATATAAGTAAATGAGCTATCCTTCTATAATTTACAAATTTATAAGCCTATCTGAAATTTATGCCACTGAGGCTTTGTGATAAAAATTCAGAATTCTAGACGTTTTTAGATGACTTCTTAACATTTTCATGAAATTCAGAACCAGCAGCCTAGGGTCCATGAAGCTGAAGTTTATTTTTTTACCTTTGAGAAATCTAACTGAAATGTCACTAAGATTTTTTTAAAACACCACAAAAAACCACAGCCCTATGCATCCATTACAATACAGATACCAGCTCATCTCCCCATATGGGGTGACTGTTCAATAGTGGGGGCATAATTCTGCAAGACAGGTAGAAAATTGTCAGATGTAAGTTTTGAAACAGAGCTTTTGCTGAAGTTCAAATAGCATGTATAAACCATTTCTGACATGCAACTGAACATCCCTTTCATCACCCAATTTTTTTTTCATTTCAGTCTAAATTTTATTTTAGACTTTTATTGCTTCTAATACAGACATATTTCATAACCCTTTTTTACCTTTAGAACAATAAAGATTGCAGCAACAGGGGTTTTTGTAGGAAACAGCTTTCATTTGTCACCTTTCTGGCTATTCTGAAGTTCTGCTATTATAAAGTACTTCACCTGCAGAAGGAACTAAAACAGGTATTGGTAAATTGTTATTCTGAAAGCTGCACAAAGAAGAATGAGTTCAAAGTAAATTAGTGTGTTGCAGTGAGGTTGTGAAAAAAAATCCACTTATAGCATTATTTTTCCATTTTCAAATGCAAATAGGTGATACACCTATTTGATGCTATCTCAGAAATCAACTTAAAGAGTTTGTTTTTAACTTACCCTTTAACTAGTTGAAAGTGAAAATATTTAACTTAAGCAACTTCTGAAGGCTACTAAATTGTAATGTTAACTAGTTAAAATTTTCACTACATTTTCCCATGACTAGCAACTATATAATGAAACCAATAAAACGTTAGTGTCACTTGCGCAAGTGTCTATAACATGGGTAGGCAAACTAAAGCCCGGGGGCCGGATCCGGCCCAATCGCCTTCTAAATCCGGCCCTCAGACAGTCCGGGAAGCAGTGTGTTTTTACATGCATATAATGTGTCCTTTTATTTAAAATGCACCTCTGGGTTATTTGTGGGGCCTGCCTGGTGTTTTTACATGAGTAGAATGTGTGCTTTTATTTAAAATGCATCTCTGGGTTATTCGTGGGGCATAGGAATTCGTTCATTCCCTCCCCCCCCCAAAATATATATATATATATATATATATATATATATATATATATATATATATAGTCCGGCCTCTCACAAGGTCTGAGGGACAGTGGACGGGCCCCCTGCTGAAAAAGTTTGCTGACCCCTGGTGTATACATTTATTTTTATTTATTCTGCTAAGATCCTGTCCTTCTTCCATGAATGATCTCAAGATGTCATAAATTGGGTTCCCAGGTAGTCTTCCACCCAGGCACTTCTTGGATCCAGATTTGCAGCAGCATGTCAACGTGCATAAATTAGGGAATGCTACTCTAATCAGATCCATGCCTAATGGTTAATAATGTTTGAAACTGCATAGTAGGCTTATGACAATGGTGAAACAGTTTATTCATGGTGAAATACTTTATACCATTCCATACAAAATGTGTAACTCTTTAAGATGTCACATGGGTCTTTGTTCTTTTTATTCATGAGGGAGCTCTATTCCCTGGCTAAATGAGTGAAGTGATTGATATGTGGCTTAAAACACACAATCACAGCTATTTTCCTCTTTTATCTCTCTACTCATGACAGCCTTTTGCTTAGTTTATAAGATCTTGCTTAGTTTATAAGATCTGACAAGATCACAACCCATGGCACTATGGCTGCAGGCTACTACCGCATTTTATTTTATTGTTCTATTATTCATTTGTAACCCTGAAGAGACAAGGAGCCACTGTATAACAAAGCAAAACACTGTCTAGGTCACCATGCAAGGTATGAATATAAGAATACTGTATTGAAGTTAAGGATAAAATCGTGCAATTTGAAAATTGGGTGTTTTCTTGTTTACTTGTATAGAATTATAAAAATTACATTAGCCAAAATTCAAACCAGTTCCAAAGGTATACTCTTGTTCCCTGTTTTACATAAAGCCAGGACTGATGGCAGCAAGGACCCCTTCACCTTATTTAGGGATCAGTATAGGTCAGTGTTTCCCAACCGGTGTTCCGCGGCACACTGGTGTGCCATGAGACCTTGCCTGGTGTGCCGTGGGAGGGAGGCGGGAGAGGCGGGGCGGCGGCGGCATCTCCTGCTGGATGCAAATCCAAACATGGCGGGCGCCTCCCTCGCTCCTTTGTAGGCGGACCATCGAGAGAGAAAGAAAAGGAGGCGAAAGAGCGAGAGAAGGCGCCTGCGCGGAAAGAGGAGCGAGCAGTGCGCCTGCGCGCCGCGGCGCCCGAGATCGCTTCTCCCCACCGCCCCTTGCTTCAAAAGAGGTCCGGGGACAGCGGGAAGCGCTTCGCGCTGCCCCCGGACCTCTTTTGAAGCAAGGGTTTGCGGGGAGAAGCGATCTCCCCGCAGCCCCTTGCTTCAAAAGAGGTCCGGGGGCAGCGGGAAGCGCAGCGCTTCTTCCCCGCTGCCCCCGGACCTCTTTTGAAGCAAGGGGCTGCGGGGAGATCGCTTCTCCCGGTGCTCCGAAGCGGGGTGGGGGGGGCGGGAACACCTGCCCCAGCCGCCCCGCTTCGGAACGCTGCTCCGAAGCGGGGCGGGGGGCGGGAACACCTGCCCCAGCCGCCCCGCTTCGGAACGCTGCTCCGAAGCGGGGCGGGGGGGCGGGAACCTCGCACCCCGCCGCCGGGCATCGGAACGATGCCCCGATGCCGGGCGGTGGGGCGGGAACCTCTCCCCCCGCCGCCCGGCATCGGAACGATGCCCCGATGCCGGGCGGTGGGGCGGGAACCTCGCACCCCGCCGCCGGGCATCGGAACGAGGTCCTGGACCTCTTCTGAAGGCAGGCGGGGGCAAAAGTCTTTGCTCCCCCCGCCTGCCTTCCCGGGACAGCGGAGACTTCTCCGCTGCCCCGGGCGATCTTAAAATGCTGGCGGGCGGGAGCGAAGCGTTCGCTGCCGACCCCCAGCATTTTAAAATCTTGGGGCAGCGGAGACTTCGCTCCCGCCCGCCAGCATTTTAAAATCGCCCCGGGACAGCAGGGGCTTTTAAAATGCTGGCGGTCGGCAGCAAAGCCCTCCTGTCCCGGAGCTTGGCGGGGCGGGAGGTGGGAAGAAGGGCTTTTCTTCCCCACCGCCAGCTCTTCAGAACCAGCCTTCTGAAGGCTGGCAGTGGGAAGAAAAGCCCTTTGTCCCCCCCCCCCAGCCTTCAGAAGAGGTCGGGGGGCCAGACTGTCCCCGGACCTGGTCTGAAGGCGGTTTCCCTAGGAACGCATTAATTGATATTTCCAATGCATTCCTATGGGAAACCGGCATCGCAGACCGAAAAACTCGCAAGACCGAAGAGACTTGCCGGAACGATAATTAATTTTCGTCTTGCCGAGGCCCCACTGTTCTTTTTATCATAGCAATATAGGCCACAGAGTTAAATTTTTTAATCATTTTCTAATGGTGGTGTGCCCGAGATTTTTTTCATGAAACAAGTGTGCCTTTGCCCAAAAAGGTTGGGAAACACTGGTATAGGTGTTAATTGCTTTGGATTCAATGCGCTGGAAGATCAAGAGTGTATCTGAGTTGCACTTGACCTACTTTGAGAAAGTGGAGGCTGGTCCATTACTAGAGCCTGGGGTATGGCCCCACCAACTTCAGCCTGCCCTCAGCCAGCCTCCATCAGCCAGCCTCTTTTTTTATACCCAGTCCAGAGGCTAACCCTGGCTGTCAGCTTCCTCCCCTCCTAGTCTCAGGTTTGTCGTGGTTGGACTCAAGATAAAGACAAAACTAGGATTAGTTTATTCTACTTGTCCTTGGCTCGGATACCACCTACTTTTGGCTTCCTGGCTTCCTCCCCACCAGTCCTAATGAGCACAACCCACCACTGTTGTGAAATAAGGATATTAATGCTAGTATAAATACTAGAAATATGTTCCACTGTTTAATGAAATAATTAATTTTCCAGCACCTTGTTGTAAATTACATATATTAATATGCCTGCCTATGGCATATGGGGGTTCCACGTATAGCTCTGGTGGCAGTGACCCAGTAGTACTTTATTCAGCTAAGCAGAATCAACACAGCAAAAATGTTGGATGGGAGGCTACATGGCAATGACTGACTCCTGCTGGCTATATGTGGTATTTCATCATCTTTGGGACGCTGGTGGCGCTGTGGGTAAAAGCCTCAGCGCCTAGGGTTTGCCGATCGAAAGGTCGGCGGTTCGAATCCCCGCAGCGGGGTGCGCTCCCGTTGTTTGGTCCCAGCGCCTGCCAACCTAGCAGTTCGAAAGCACCCCCAGGTGCAAGTAGATAAATAGGGACCGCTTACTGGCGGGAAGGTAAATGGCGTTTCCGTGTGCTGCGCTGGCTCGCCAGATGCAGCTTTGTCACGCTGGCCACGTGACCCGGAAGTGTCTGCGGACAGCGCTGGCCCCCGGCCTCTTGAGTGAGATGGGCGCACAACCCTAGAGTCTGTCAAGACTGGCCCGTACGGGCAGGGGTACCTTTACCTTTAATATGCCTGCCAATGGTCAGTTGACAGGACATTTTCGAACCTCCTGTAGTAAATAGCAGTAATCCAAATCAAGTTGTCCTAGATTGTACCAATTTTTAAGGACTCTAGTCGACCTGGTTTGGCTTGCCTTTTGTCAGATGTCAATGTATTTGAGATGAACTGAAGCCAGTGACAGTCAGTATTGGCTCCATGACATATACATTACACAGCTTTCATCATCTTGACCAGGGCTACAGCCACGACACTGTCCTAATATCTGGTGAATTAGTAAACATATGTCTGAACTATGTTACTTCATACTGGAGATAGGGGCTTGCATGATGGAATGCTTTTCCTATGCAAAGCAGTAAAACATATACACTCATATACTTGGAAAGTACATAGAGTACAATTAAAATACACCCATTAACTGTTTAGATAATGAATGTGTGTCTGCTTTTTTTAAAAAAAAATTCCCATAATACTAAATGTTCACCTGGTTCACCTGCTTTATTCTATAGTGCACCACTATATTCCAACCAACTTCAATATGTGCATCTAATAGAAGTCAGGCTTTGCCAATGAGAGTTCTTGACACAAATATTGGTCTGTAAGGTAGCATAACAACTTATAGATGGGGCAGGCAAGCTGCAGTTCTAATCACATTTCTCAAACAACTTAGAAAACAATTAATGGAAATTAATGAAGAAATTTGCAGTATATGTGAGCTGTGCATTTCACTTGACTGATATCGCATGCCTCCTTTTTCCTGGGATGTGATGCAATATAATCTAGCAAAATGGGACGCTGAATGCAATGCACTACCCAAGAATTTGCAGTGGTCAAATGGTGGTGGGATGTGGAGATGAAGAAGAGAGGTTGGAGGAAGTCTAGGGCAGGGGAAAGTGGTTAGTGTGGAGAGGAAGGCAGAAATGAAGATGCCTGGTGGGAACAACAATTCAAGAATGAGGTTATTATTTTGGAAAACGTTGCCATAAGTGATTCAAAGGATCTCTGGCCACATCTCTTCTAAACCTTTCTCAACTTCAGCATACGTTATTTGCTAGCACTGAACTCCGCTTTCACAATAATTAGATATCATCTTGAATGACATGGAGTCCAAAGTTTTGATAAAAGTCACCCAGAGCGTAGTAAGACAATGCTTCATGGGCATAACAGTGGGACACGTCTTGGTACCTTTGAACAACATAACATATCCACTTCCACAGGGCCTCTGCTCAAAGGTGAATTCTGGGCACTGTGGACATAGCTATTTAATATTTTGCCAGGAATAGGAAATGACACTTCAAACAGCACCCCCTGCAGATGTTGACCAGCAGCGTTCCTCCCACATGGTCCTCATCACTTATGCACATATCAACCAGATCAAAGACTACAAAGGGTTGGTTTTGATGCTACCTTTTTTCCTCCAAAGGAGAATGTGCATGTTACGTCCGTATGATTTTTAAAGGAAACATCTAAAAAACAGGCATTAAATATACCTCACCTCTCTAGCTCACAAATCTTTTATTTAAAATCCACATTTTATTTAAAAGTTCTTTCATGTGTGTTCTGTGGGGGGAAAAGTTTGATGTCAAGCTCATCACAGACTACAAAAGAAACACAGCAGAAATTAGGAATTACTGTAATTTGCTCAAAGATTTAAATCTAAGCAGATGCAGTCTTAAACGATGGCCCTTAAAATGGAGAATGGAATAAAGGCTTCAGGATAAATAAAGAAAAACCCTGCTGTATTATTATTATTATTATTATTATTATTAATAAATTTATTATTTATACCCTGCCCATCTGGGTTTCCCCAGCCACTCAAATTAGATCCATCAAATTACATCCATCCTACTTCCCATGTACCTCAAGGAAGTCAATAAGAAGGAACCCCATAGTGGCACATTGCTTCTGAACATGGAAGATATATTATGACTAATAGCCATTGATAGGCCTATCCTCGATGGATTTGTTCAACCCTTATTAATAGCCATCATCCCAGTTGCTGGCTGTTGCCATATCTTGTTCGTAATTCCTTAAATTGTGTGTTGTATGAAGCAGTCTTTCCTGACTGCACTGGTGTTCAGCGCAACATACTTAACAAAGAACATGAGGCCAGAGGAAACAACAGAGGAAGTGGAGGCAAGTGTAAACAAGAATAGAACTGGCATTACTTCAGTTACACATAAACCTAATGCAAGGCTTAGTTACTGTAGAGCTGGGATAGCCAATATGGTACTCTCCAGATGTTACGTCCTACGATTCATGTAACCAAAGGTTTCAAAGAAAAAGTGAGGTATTCTGGGAGTGAGTTGCAACCATAAAGGGATAGAAAGAGTGGCGCGATTTGAAGAAGCAGGAAACCTTCAGAATGGCTCAGAGTGGTAGACATGGAGAAACAAAAAAAAATCAAAGGCTGCCTTTTCCCCCTCAGAATGTAAGACCAAAGGGTTTGTGAGAATATAGATGTTAATGGTAGGATTTCATGTCATCAGAGCAATGAGGTGAAATTTTGGCAGTAGAGGTTAGAGATAATGGGACAGTGACAGGGTGGGGACAGGAGCCCAGATCAGATGGGTATTGTCAGAGGACCCAGGGAAGGCTGAGTCCCAAGTTTTGTTTTGTTTTTGCACTGGACTTTCCCCTCACTTTTAAAAACATTCTTTTTGTACTTTTTGTACTGCTTTCAGTGCAGATGGGATCATGGTAAAACAGTGCAGGTGAATCCATATTAGCACTATTAAATCTGCATATAATGTTGTGCAGATTTGTGCTATGAGCCTGCACTCTGAATCTTTTCAGTACCCGGCAATGTTTCGGGAGGAGAAGCTTGTAGCAGTAAAGATAAGAGATGACCAGGCATGGTCCAGAATTTTCACTGAGTTGTCAAAGAGAAAGACCTGCATTTTTTTCAGTATTATTCAGTACCTTTTTAAGACTCTCTTTCTGCTTTGAGTAGTGACTATAGATACAAAGCAGAATTTGAAGCAGCACAACCTGCCAATGGACTGAATACAGGAAACAAAGGGAGAAGAGAGGCATAAAAGATAAAGCCAAGGTTATTTTCACACCTGCTAGCAACATTTTACAGTAAGCAATAATTGAATATTTAACTTTCTACTACCTCATTGGATCTTCAAAAAGGTGGTGCATTGGCTTATATTGCTGCTGATAGTGGGTTTTGTGTTTTGTTTTGTTTTTTTGTAGCCAAGGGAGACTAATATCAAAGAGCTGAGTCTGTAATATGACAAATTACTATTTTTAAGTCAGGACCTAAGACAAAGTGACCAACCTGGATACTGACAACTGGAATATTACTGATAAGCAACGCACGTATTTTGAAGTCCTGTGTTATTGATGGTTTTTAAGACTGTAATTGGAACATAAACATTCACATACTTTGTGGCAATAAATCAATTGGTAACCTGTAAATGTGACACTCATTTTTCAGGAGTGCATAATATTTCCCACCCATTGACAACACATTGTAATTGTTGTCACATATGGGGTGGATGGTTGTTGATAGGAAAAGCTTCTGTACCATAAAAAAGAAAACCACAAACTGTAATTTTATGATAAAAATTCAATTAAAAGTTATTTTCATGCAGCAAGCAACATTTTACAATAAGCAATAAATGAATATTTGAATTTTCATTACTGATACTATCTCTTCTTATGAGCAGTGACTATAAATATAAACAGAGTTTGAATTTATTCTATGCTGTCATGGATCCTAATAGTAACAACCCTCTAGAGTCCAACCCTGTAAATCAGGCATAGGCAAACTCCGGCCCTCATATGTTTGGGTCTACAATCCCATCATCCTTAGCCAACAGGATCAGTGTTCAGGGCTGATGGGAATTTGTAGTCTCAAACATTGGAGGGCTGGAGTTTGCCTACGCCTGCTGTAAATGCACAAGGATAGGAGAGATGCAAAAGGAGGGGCAGGGCTATCAGCAGGATTATGACACAGCAGAAATCACATGGAGGTACCAGTTGTTATGAAACACTGCTACCATGTGGAGGTGCATATGTGATATACACTGACTGGCAGCCAATTCTCAGAGTTTCAGGTAAGTTTTCTCTCTAATTGATTAAAGTGGCAATTGTTTTTAGAGCACCTGTAAAATTAGCTACTGAACATATAGCAAATAAAAGATGTGGGATCATCCCCCAAACTCAGATTTAGGCCAGTCTAAAATTAACCTAGTTCACCTTTAATCTAGTTCAGCTTGTTTTGAGATCATTCTGATTGATTTGCTCATAAACACAGTTGTTGTTGTACTTAGATTTAAGCCATCTCGATCAGAGACAGCCCATATAGCATCCTCTAGATGCTGGGCTATAATGCCCATCAGTCCAAGCCAACGTCATCACTGGACAGGAGTAATGGAAAACATAGTACAGCAATACATGGAAGGCACCTTGTTGGCCACCCATGACCTAGATAGTCGAAAGATGTGTTGGAAAGGCCACAATGCTAAAACACAAATTTGGACTGTATAGTTGATTTGGTGGTCTAAAACAAGTATGAGGTCACTCTGCTGTAACCTGCTATAGTCTCAGAAATAAAGTATGG